GTCTCAGATGTATCTAGCGTGGGACCTGAAGAAGATTTAAGGATCCCGCTAGTAGGTTTGATAGGTCTAGCATTGAATCTCAGGTTATCAGATAGGGCACTGTCATCGACGTGTGCTGGTTTGAGACGATCAATGCTGACGATCTCGACGCGTCCATATCGATCAACCTTGAAGGTCTTTTCGTGACGAGCGATCACGTGAAAAGGGCCTTCGTAAGGTTGTTGCAAAGGTTTGCGTACCGAATCTACTCGTATGAAAACATGTGAACAGGTAGATAACTCTCGAGGGAGAGCGACCTGTCGATGTTGTATTCGAGTTGACACCGGAGACAGCGTTGTGCAGGGAAGAGGACGGAAACAACAATGTAGCAAGCTGACACTCTGTATCCTCGTACTCGAATCAGGCACATGTAGTGTCACACTTGCATCAATCAACACTAATACCAAAACATAAACAATCCAACTACTCAATTATCACAAACACACAAAGTCACCATCAACACACACACACACACACTCACTCTCACTCAAAACACCTATCCGGTCACACACCCATCTAAATGAAACGTCGTCATACCTATCTCTAACTAAACACTTCACCCTGTCTCAATCACATTACGCTCGACTGATCAGTCAGTCAGTCAGTCAGTCACTTAGCCTCATTCAATTCAATACAACATCTGGCACCTATGTCCTTCACTCCAAACTCCAAATCGTCATCACCACAGCTGCTTCAAATTAACAACATCAACAACAAAACAGTCACATTCCACTGACAACCCAACAAATTCCACACACATACACACACAAACACACAAATCTCAAACAATCCTCTACTTCCAAACAAACAGCCTCTCCTATGTAAACACACAATCACTCGTCTCCTGTTACACAAATACAAATTCCTATCCAAATCACACAAAGACAACTTCACAAACAATGTCTGATGTACACCGGAACTATACTCTACCGAGTTCCAGAATGCGACATCATAGATTCATGTAGGTGTCCCGTCCCCCAACGCATACCTTGCAAATCGGTACAGTGGTCTTTGGACACCAAATCAAAACACCAACACAAACTGAAATCCCATCATCAATACCATTCAATGAACCATACAATATTACACCAATCACTTCAACGTCCGACTACACTCACACACACCAGTCAAATATACACTACAATTCAACCATCACATATCAGCATCATCACCAAACCAACTCCACCGACCAACACACATATCACAAACACACGATCAGGTAGCATCAAAACACACACCTCGTATAATGTCTATTCCACAAATAAACACGTCAACAATCGAAGCCAAAACCATCAGCATAAACACACTACATTGACATTACAGAGTATTCAGTGAAGACAGTCGAAATATTACAAAACCACTCCACCGATCCACCTCCCCACAATGCTTAAAACACCAGTCATCACAATCATTCGGATCACATTCAGTATAACTGGTAGAACTTGCAAGCATCATGTAGAAGAGCTGATCGAACTTAAAACACACAACCCAAAAACGCACAAAAGAAAGAAACAGACACAGTGACTTCCCACGATCACAGCGTCCGCCCATCCATCCACAATCTCAGTACGAACGATCAACACCAACACTCATCAGAAAACCACTCACACTACACCTTCATTTGACAAACACAACAAATGTTTGTCATTCCACACACAACTACACTCTCACACTAACCCTACAGTCCCATCGACAAATAATCAATGTTCACTCAAAAACCGTCGAATGATAAACAACTGTCTGATTACTCACAGTCTCCGTCCTTGCCAAACACAGACAAGTCGTGCGACATCTGTCACTCATTGTACGGTGTCCACTTGACCTCATACTCACATCACGAATACAGGCTCAGATAACACCGAATTATTCTCCTTCACAATCCACTCCAACAGTCAAATAAACAATTCACTCATATCAAGTCTCTACACCTACTCATCCATCACAACACTCTCTCAATTACAAGCACAACTAATCCTCGCTTACCTCTCATCAATACACTCACCATATCTGCACAAATAACACACGTCACAACAACAACAACCAACTATAATACAAAGACCTCAACAACTTGTACATTAACTACAATACTGCAAAACCACCACCACCACCACCACCACCATCATCATCATCTTCATCATCACCAATAATACCACACACACACACACACACAACAAAAACAACAACGATTTAATAGATATATCCGTTCTGTACACCTGACACAGGCATCAGAGTCTGTGCAGGGAAGAGGACGGAAACAACAATGTAGCAAGCTGACACTCTGTATCCTCGTACTCGAATCAGGCACATGTAGTGTCACACTTGCATCAATCAACACTAATACCAAAACATAAACAATCCAACTACTCAATTATCACAAACACACAAAGTCACCATCAACACACACACACACACTCACTCACTCTCACTCAAAACACCTATCCGGTCACACACCCATCTAAATGAAACGTCGTCATACCTATCTCTAACTAAACACTTCACCCTGTCTCAATCACATTACGCTCGACTGATCAGTCAGTCAGTCAGTCAGTCACTTAGCCTCATTCAATTCAATACAACATCTGGCACCTATGTCCTTCACTCCAAACTCCAAATCGTCATCACCACAGCTGCTTCAAATTAACAACATCAACAACAAAACAGTCACATTCCACTGACAACCCAACAAATTCCACACACATACACACACACAAACACACAAATCTCAAACAATCCTCTACTTCCAAACAAACAGCCTCTCCTATGTAAACACACAATCACTCGTCTCCTGTTACACAAATACAAATTCCTATCCAAATCACACAAAGACAACTTCACAAACAATGTCTGATGTACACCGGAACTATACTCTACCGAGTTCCAGAATGCGACATCATAGATTCATGTAGGTGTCCCGTCCCCCAACGCATACCTTGCAAATCGGTACAGTGGTCTTTGGACACCAAAATCAAAACACCAACACAAACTGAAATCCCATCATCAATACCATTCAATGAACCATACAATATTACACCAATCACTTCAACGTCCGACTACACTCACACACACCAGTCAAATATACACTACAATTCAACCATCACATATCAGCATCATCACCAAACCAACTCCACCGACCAACACACATATCACAAACACACGATCAGGTAGCATCAAAACACACACCTCGTATAATGTCTATTCCACAAATAAACACGTCAACAATCGAAGCCAAAACCATCAGCATAAACACACTACATTGACATTACAGAGTATTCAGTGAAGACAGTCGAAATATTACAAAACCACTCCACCGATCCACCTCCCCACAATGCTTAAAACACCAGTCATCACAATCATTCGGATCACATTCAGTATAACTGGTAGAACTTGCAAGCATCATGTAGAAGAGCTGATCGAACTTAAAACACACAACCCAAAAACGCACAAAAGAAAGAAACAGACACAGTGACTTCCCACGATCACAGCGTCCGCCCATCCATCCACAATCTCAGTACGAACGATCAACACCAACACTCATCAGAAAACCACTCACACTACACCTTCATTTGACAAACACAACAAATGTTTGTCATTCCACACACAACTACACTCTCACACTAACCCTACAGTCCCATCGACAAATAATCAATGTTCACTCAAAAACCGTCGAATGATAAACAACTGTCTGATTACTCACAGTCTCCGTCCTTGCCAAACACAGACAAGTCGTGCGACATCTGTCACTCATTGTACGGTGTCCACTTGACCTCATACTCACATCACGAATACAGGCTCAGATAACACCGAATTATTCTCCTTCACAATCCACTCCAACAGTCAAATAAACAATTCACTCATATCAAGTCTCTACACCTACTCATCCATCACAACACTCTCTCAATTACAAGCACAACTAATCCTCGCTTACCTCTCATCAATACACTCACCATATCTGCACAAATAACACACGTCACAACAACAACAACCAACTATAATACAAAGACCTCAACAACTTGTACATTAACTACAATACTGCAAAACCACCACCACCACCACCACCATCATCATCATCTTCATCATCACCAATAATACCACACACACACACACACACAACAAAAACAACAACGATTTAATAGATATATCCGTTCTGTACACCTGACACAGGCATCAGAGTCTGTGCAGGGAAGAGGACGGAAACAACAATGTAGCAAGCTGACACTCTGTATCCTCGTACTCGAATCAGGCACATGTAGTGTCACACTTGCATCAATCAACACTAATACCAAAACATAAACAATCCAACTACTCAATTATCACAAACACACAAAGTCACCATCAACACACACACACACACTCACTCACTCTCACTCAAAACACCTATTCGGTCACACACCCATCTAAATGAAACGTCGTCATACCTATCTCTAACTAAACACTTCACCCTGTCTCAATCACATTACGCTCGACTGATCAGTCAGTCAGTCAGTCAGTCACTTAGCCTCATTCAATTCAATACAACATCTGGCACCTATGTCCTTCACTCCAAACTCCAAATCGTCATCACCACAGCTGCTTCAAATTAACAACATCAATAATAATTCAGTCGGATTACACAGCATTTCGAAGTATATGTTTTATTTTACGTAGAATATGTCCGGGATTCTTATACATTAAAGATGAGTGCTTATCGTCAATGAAATTTAGTCGTTGTAAGTTGAGGAATTCACATCAGTAGCGCTATGATGTTACTTTTTAAAATATTTTTTCGTAGTTGTGCGTATGAGAACAACGAAAAGTGATTCACAAATGTGCATCCTGACGTGAAATTAGGTGATTTACACTCTTGCATTTTAACTACTATACCATCATTTTAAAATTCTCTTTAGGGCTTCAGTTTGCAAAAAGTCACTAAAGGACACATTACTAGATCATAATCACAATTTATCAATTAAAAATGCTAGAGTCAGAAGATATTATAAAATTTATTTACATTAAAACATGGTCACACTTAAAGACGTTTATTATGTTTATTTATTTTAAGAATTTAGAACGCGAAGCGAGTACGTATATCCTCCAGACGTTTAGCGATATCACTAGGAGTTTTATCCATTTCTTCAGCGATTGATCTTTGTTTACTGCCTTCTAGAGAGTTGAAAATTTCACAGAGATCACCATCAATCACATTCTGAAAATTAGCATGAAAATCACAATAGTTATATTTTCTACATGGGAGTTATATCATTATTAGTGATAAATAAATGTTTAGAAATACTGAAAATAAATCTAGAGTTATTTTCCAAACGACTAATTGAAGCTTTTTTATTCAATATAGATTATGTTTACACATAGTGTATGCTAAAAATTATTAGTTTATAAATAAGGTACATTTAAATACTGTGTTTGTGCATACTGGTGAATGTTTATTTTAAGAAGTAGTATTTAGTATTACGTTTATTATCAAATCTATAAAATGAACTTAATTTTGCATGGTAAGATACACCAAAATGTATTATCATTTTATCCTAATCAAGTTCGATTTCAAAATATTTATTCAGTGATTTCAGTAAAAGCACTTTTATTTAACAAAATAAAACATATCACCAAATGCATTCCTTAAGAATAAAAGTAGACACACAAATTTGTTTTAGTTTAAGAAATTAAACATACTCTAACTGGATAATGTTGTGAACGATAATGTACGTGTTCCCGACCAACTAAAGATAATCCTTCAGCTCTCATATGTAGCTCCAAATGTTGGAAGAAATCATAGGCATCTCGAGAAGCAAAGGGAACCAACATTCCGATGCTACCAGATATTGTTGAATAAACAATACCCTCAGAACCTCCAGGGATCAAAGTGGCCTTCTGTAAACAAGTAACAACCTCACCGACGTAAAAATGACATAACACCTAGAATTGATAAAAATAAATTAAAATACAATTCGGACATACGTCACACTTTTGACTTGCTCCGCCAAGGAAACCTCTGTCCCAAAGCGCGCGATTGCCACTAGGATCATCTTCAATATCATCGATAACATTAGGTGGTAAACGCAGAATAGTGACATTTCCAAATTTATCTGAAACTGCTACTGTTGAAGCATCCAGTACTGCTAAATGTATAATCCAACGGGGATTAGTATCATCTGCAAATATAACTAATTGGCTATCGGAGCGTGGTCTATAACGGACCCAATGAACACTTTCTTGAACATCTGTCACAATTATCCGACTGCCTACAGAATAAATACCATTGATTAGGGTAGGAATATGCTAAAAAGACAATCAAATGGAAGAATACCATTATTATTTGATTTACAAACATCAGGTTTAAATAAATTTCATCTCAAATAAACAATGAATTGTGTAATACAACTCACTTAATGATTCATCATTGACTGAGAAACCCAAACATACATTGATCACAACAATGTTTATTGGAATAAATTAATTTCCTTATGAATGATACCGTATCGTGCAATGTCTGATATAGGTGCTGAGAATTATGAAATGCTTAATTCATCCAAACATAAAATAAACAAAAGTAAGTCGAATAGAACTAGCTGACATAATACTACCACTTATGACCTCTTAAAAGAAAGATGTTTTTGAAGAAACCACTTGTAGTTGTGCAACGGATGCAAGAGAAGAGGCGATAATTGAAATGACAACTACGAACTATATACTTGCTTCTATCCCCCACCCCAGTTACTCTAAAAGAAGAATGTTGTTACGAAGATTTATTAGAAGGAACGAAAGAAGATTGATTTCATATTCCAGCTAATTCAGTGATTATTAACTACAGAACTCTCTAAACTGATTAGTTGCCGCTGAATACAAAATAATGGTGAAATAATCAACATAAGGAAAATGCATTAAGAACAGAATAACTGGTTACAACTGGAATTTAATGAACAGAAATGGCTAAAATCAGTTGAGTTGACCGAGTGAAAATTACCTTAATTTTACATATCGATTTAGGATTTTCTTTTCTTGTATGTTGTATTTCTGGATATAGGACCCCTAACAATTTGTAGATTAGTCATAAGCAAAGTGTAATCTGACATGTGTATCAACTTTAGTTATTACGCTACGACGACATGAATACCAAAGTAATAGTAATAGTAGTACTGACAAAATAAATAAGCATAGAGAAATATAATTATTCGAGAACAGTGAATTCGCAAAATAAAATGTATAAAATGATTCCCGAACTCGGGATCTGAAACCAAACAATTACGAATGCATTTTTGCCGCTGATACATATTTTGAGTCATGCTATCTTTTTTTAGTCACTGGTCACGGTTATCGTGTAAAACCCAACCAGGCAGTCTACATCTACCAACGTCGCTCAGCCCAACAGTTAATGACTTAATTGACTGATGCTATATCTTCGTTTGACTGCACAATTCTTTTCTTTAAAATATTCCTAATAAAAGTTGTATCACTATTATCATATATAAAGTGCAGGACTCAGAAACAGGGGAAGGTAGGTTCAAACCTATGACTTGATAATCGACAGTAGAGCGCTTTATCCCACCAACTACTGGTTTATTTCCACTCAATAAATTTAAACTCGACTAGTGGTTAAAGAGGTCAGAAGCATCTCCAGTCATTAACACTAACTATGAACTTTAAAAATGTAGCTAGATTATCGTGATCAGAACAACACGTACTCATTTACTTAGGTCGGGAAAATTCGTACTTTACATGAAACAAAGAATTTCAGAATGCTTTTCAACTAAATGAATCATAGCTTCAAACATAGGCATTTTGAAACGTGACAGTATAAAGAAACCTTGCTTATGTTGGTAAACATATGCGGAATAGTCCCTTAACAGTCAAACACACTCAAATTTCAACAACTTTGCAGTGAAAACTTTCAATTCAACTAGTACTTACCTAGATAAAGAAGCAATATTATCAACCCATACACAAAAAGTTTAAAACCTAAGTCGAAGTCATTGTACTTCAAATAATTTCATAATCCATAAATATAAAAATTTTGTAGCTCAACGAGCTTGGTACCAGATATAGAAATGTACCTTGTTTTCACATTTTTTCAACAACTTTTTTTTCCCCAGATCATATATTCGTAATCGATTTCCGACACCCACAAGAAGACGACCTTGAAAAGCACATAGAGCTGCTGGAAAATCATCAACTGGTGTTTCGTGAAGGAATTCAAGACGCTCGCCATTGTTCCAAATTCGATATGTTTTTAAACAACCACCAGAACATGAACGTGGATTGAGGATAAGATCTTTGACAAGAGCCACAACAAGGAATTGTTCAGCTGGACTATTTTGTTATTAGACAAGGCAAATAAAAAGATATGTATTGATAATTTATGGGATAAACGTTTAACTATTTGTGAGCAGTGAACTAACAACAGTGTGGCATGTTAAAACATATGCGAACCACCAAGATAATTCAAAGAGATAAAATAAGAACTACATCGACTATCCACGAAAAGCAACAAAAACAACTAGTCATAAACCTTACTGATTATTGAATTTGACAAAGGTTAAGGCATGAGCAGCTTCATTTTGTGGGAATCGTATTATCTGACATGTGCTTCCATCCAATGGTTTAAAACATCGCAGTAAACTTGCCCACATACCAGGCCCAGCCTTTGGAGCGCCAAATATTGCCTCAGGAAGATTTTCCGAAAGAAAAGCAGCAGCGGACTCTTTCGCTAGAACCATATCCTCAGAAGTTCCACCAAGAGCAGAGGCTATCATTTTCTTCGAAAACAAAGAAAGATAAGTGATTTAAAAAGAATATTTTACATCTTTAACATTTCTAAAAGTCTTTCCATTAAGACACTGTAATTAATTTATATTGTAGATAGCAGGATAGAAAAATAAATCAGCGAAAATGTTAGAGACAAAATCTTAAATATGTGAACAGAATTTCTCGTTCCTTGGGGGAAAATAGTACAAGATTAACATATTAATGTGTAGATTAAACTCCATTTAGTAAAAACAAGTGGCAACACGTGTGTTCGGTAATCAGTTAGGCTAAAATAAAATCTATCAAATTCAACCCAATACTAAATACTTGTGTGACTTCTTCAACGTTGCGCTGGAAACCACATAGCTACGGAATAAAACCACTTTAAACTATCGTAAGTCGCTAAGATATATGGATTACGTAAAAAAACTACAAATTACACCGTTTAACTGTGAATAAAACAGCAGTAGAATAACAGAAGTGTTCCTCGCTAAAGTAGAGTTACTAAACTAATTGCTAGTTTAATGAGCCAGATTCGAAACCATGCATTTACTAGGACAAGTATAATTTATGCCTTATGAGAAATTATTTACTACAATCCGACTATTGCGTAGATGAATCACTTAAAACACAAGTACAATTTACCTAGGTTCAAGAAGTGATATCCAAATGATTTCAGTTCAACCACTAATCAAAAATATGATACACCCCATGACTTGATTACCTGTGTAGTACAACCAAACTAGAGACAACTTTCAATGAAAAAAAAGATAATTACCTCAGCCATTTGACGTTTATGAGTATTTTTAACATCATCTGTATAACTATTGTGATCCGTTTCAATTATGTAAGTAATATTTGAATCTGGATGAAAAACAAATTTACGAGGTGTATACTGGAGTGGATAACTAATTTGATTAAATACTGCGCCAAGTTTCTCAAGTGCCATAATCCTAAATATGAACGCAAATTGTACAACAACAAATGTAACAAGTGGAACCATAAGTAAATTCTAGTAAAAAGCCATAAAATTTAACCCACAATCTAGTAAATCAGTGAAATATGCAATCTTAAAGGTTGTCCTACTACATAAATTGAATTAAAATAGCGATTAGATCTAAACACAACATCGCACTTGTAAAGGAATTTGGCCAATGAATTGATAAAATATACTCACAAAAAAGGAAGATTACCAGAATTATATATATATATATATATATATATATATATATATATATATATATATATATATACTATACCCTACTAAGCATAAAATACAGTCGTTTCGAGAAACAGATCGACAGTGAGTTGATAAGTTTGCAATTGACAATAGTTTACATGGTGTCGTTTTTTTCAAATATTACATATCATAATCACTTAAATTAATTCTGAATAGTTATAGATGGACTGTTATTCTGTTGTGGTTTGTCAATACAATCTTACCAGTGTCAATAGTATACACAGAAACAAAGACATATTAATTACAGCTTTGCACACGAAAACTCCGCCTGTAGCTCTTCCAGAGTTACTGCCGGTCCCAAGCCCGGGTAAAGGAGAAGGGTTAGGCATAGGGTTAGCGTCCCCATCCCGTAGAAAACTAACTCGCTAAAAAAACGCTTACCAGAAAAAATAATTCAAACCATTTAAACTCTGCCCTGAAAGTTAGTTCTTCATTTAGAAGAATTATGACGCTTCATGGTGAAAGCCGAGTTACTTCGGAAGCCACGAGGCCGATGCCCCTTCTAACAACCAGAGCAAAAATTTTTATAGGTACATGGAACGTCCAAACAATGTGGGAGAACGGGAAAACCAGTCAAATAGCAACGGAAATGAGGAGATACAACGAAGGAAGAAGAAACTACTATGGAGGACAACTGGAAAAGTATCAAAGAAGCATTAACTTCAACGTGTCAAGAGGTTCTGGGCCTAAAGAAGCACCATCATAAGGAATGGACCTCTATAGAAACACTGGACAAGATCAAAGAAAGGAAGAACAAGAAGGCAGCAATAAACAACAGCCGAACACGAGCAGAGAAAGTCCAAGCACAAGCTGAATACATAGAAGCAAACAAACAAGTGAAGAGGAGCATTAGAGCCGACAAGAAGAAATACGTGGAAGAACTAGCAACGACGGCAGAAAAAGCTGCTAGAGAAGGAAATATGAAACAGCTTCACGATACAACGAAGAAACTAGCAGGGAAATACAGTAAACCAGAGAGGCCGGTCAGGGACAAAGAAGGCAAGCCAATCACCGAAATTCAACAACAGCGGAACAGATGGGTAGAATAATTCGAGGAACTCCTGAATAGGCCGGCTCCAATGAATCCACCGGACATCGAAGCAGCACACATAGATCTTCCTATAGATGTCAATCCACCAACGACGGAAGAAATTAGAATGGCCGTCAGACAAATCAAGAACGGGAAAGCAGCAGCACCCGACAATATACCAGCTGAAGCACTGAAATCAGACATCGAAGTAACTACAAACATGCTTCACCTTCTATTGAAGAAGATTTGGGAGGAGGAACAAGTGCCGATGGACTGGAAAGAAGGACACCTCATCAAGATTCCAAAGAAAGGAGATCTGAGCAAATGTGAAAACTACAGAGGCATTACACTACCGTCAAGACCAGGGAAAGTCTTCAACAGAGTGTTGCTGAACCGGATGAAAGATGCAGTAGACGCCCAACTTCGAGATCAACAAGCTGGATTCCGTAAGGATCGGTCGTGCACAGATCAAATTGCGACACTACGGATCATCGTCGAACAATCAATTGAGTGGAACTCGTCACTGTACATCAACTTCATTGATTACGAAAAGGCATTTGACAGTGTAGATAGGAGAACGTTATGGAGACTTCTTCGGCACTACGGAGTTCCTGAGAAGATTGTCAATATTATCCGGAACTCATATGACGGACTACAGTGCAAGGTCGTGCATGGAGGACAGCTGACAGATGCATTCCAAGTGAGGACCGGAGTCAGACAAGGCTGTCTACTCTTTCCCTTCCTCTTTCTTCTGGTGGTCGACTGGATTATGAAGACCTCGACATCTGAGGGAAAACACGGCATACAATGGACAGCTCAGAATCAATTAGACGATTTGGAATTCAGTCAGTCAGTCAGTAACAACGTAGAACTTCGTACGTACGTACATCAGTTCGAGTTGCCACACCACATTAGCACAGAGATGCAGTTGTCGATTCAAATCCCGTAGTGGTAGAGGTAATAAGAGTATAAGCAGTAATCGGGAAGATTAGGGTTTGGAGATGTTATTTAAAGAGTATAATCCAGTGAAATAAATTTGGAAAGAGGAAAAAAGGGACATGAAGAATTCAGAAGATTAGAATTTGGGAGAACACAGAGAGTGGATGCACCTGCGCCATTGCAAACGATTTTGAGCCATGTCATTCAGGGTCTCTAACCATCGGTTGCTATCATCTCGCGGTCCCCAACCAGGTAGTCTACACCTACCAACATGACTCAGTCCACTTGTCAGTGACTTCATGGACTTGTGCCATGTTTTGGTTTGGCCGCCCCTAGCTTTCTTCCAACCTACTCCTATACCACTGAACATAGCACGTCGAGGCAGTCGGTCGTTGGGCATACGTAACACGTGTCCCAGCCATCTCAACTGATGAAGTTTCACTACTTCATCAATTGATTTGCCATCCTTACCTAGTACCCGTTTCCTAACAACTGCGTTACTTACTCGATGGTCCCATGATATACGAGCAATGTTTCGAAGACACCTATGATCAAATACTAGTAACCTACGAATATCCTCTACTCTTACCGGCCATGTTTCACTGCCATAAAGTAGGACGGAACGAACTGCTGCGCAGTAAACACGTCCTTTGGTTGATAGACGGATATCTCGCCTACGCCATAAATGACGCAAGTTGGCAAAAGCTAGTCGAGCCTTCTGTATCCGTGCTGAGATTTCGTCACACACCAGACCACAAGGGCTGATGAGACTTCCAAGATAAGTGAAGCGGTCGACACGCTCAACTACTTCACTCCCTATCACTAGTTCGGGTGTCGATGTAACCCAATCCTGAAGCAACATTTTGCATTTCGAGGGGAGAATCGCATCCCGAACATGCTTGCATTGTTGCTTAGAGTGGTCAGAAGACTCTGCATTTTGTCAGCGTCTTCACCAAATAAAACTATGTCATCAGCATATTCTAAGTCAACAAGTGAACCTCCCGGTAGAAGTTCAACCCCTGGAAATTTAGATGAGGAGAGTGTTATCTCTAAAAGTACGTCAACGACAAAGTTGAACAAGAATGGGGAGAGTGGACAGCCCTGACGAACACCACTTGAGGTAATCAATTCTGATGACAGTTCGCCATAAGCTCTCACTCTACCAGTTGTGTTCGAGTAGAGAGCCTTTATAAGGTTAATGTACTTCTTTGGTACTCCTTTCAGTGACAAACACTGCCATAGAACCTCACGATCAACAGAGTCGAATGCCGCCTTAAGGTCGAGAAATACTACCATTGTGGGGCGTCTGAATGTGTGTCTGTGTTCTAGAACCTGACGTAGTGTGAATATCTGATCTATACAACCACGTCCAGGTCGAAAACCAGCCTGGTTTTCTCTAGTCTGCTCTTCACGAGCTTTGTTAGGCGTCGAAGTATTATTGAAGCTAATATTTTAGACACTATATTAGTCAAACTGATTCCTCTGTGATTGTCACAAGAGGACTTTTGTCCTTTCTTATAGACTGGCACAATCAGTGATTGAGACCAGTCAGATGGGATTACGTCCAGTTCCCAAATTCTACCTAAGACCTCAGTTAATCTCATTGCTAATACTGGACCACCATCCTTAAAAATCTCAGGAGTAAACCTGTCAGGGCCTGCTGCTCTCCCTCGTTTCAGATTTCCTATGGCTTTTTCAACTTCGTAAAGGGACGGAGGACCTACATTAACTTGCCATTCAGGTTGACTGGAGATCGTGGGAAACCGAAGTGTGGCTGAAGGCCAGTTGAACTGATCCCTAAAGTGTTCTGCCCATCGATCCAATCTCCTGGATTGAGAATGAATAATATGTCCATCTTTCTCTGAGATTGTTTCGCTAACGGTCGGGTTCCTAATTCCGGTTTCCTTAACGAGTCTGAACAATTGTCTGCTATTACCTATTGCCGCTGCCTTTTCCATCTCTCTTGCTTTCGCTACCCACCACTGTTCGCGATCATTGCGTAGACTTCTTGTCAGCTTGCGCTTAAGCTGACTCCGCTCTTCATTATGTTCAGAGCCAGGTGGAATGAGTTTCCGAGCATCTATCAGTGCGATAGATGCTGCTGAGATCCAGTGTTGCTCCCTAACCTTCTGGTTTACCTTACTAGCAGATATCACTGCTGTTTCCACAGCTTTTCGGATATCATTCCATGCTGCATCGGGGTGGGCATCACATACATGGCTGCCTAACTGTTTTCCTAGTTGTTCCTGAAATATACTCTTAGCTTGACTATCATTAAGTAGGCCCTAAGAGGTTTCCTTGCAGCGTCTTTCCTACGTCCAGTAAGACGCAAGCAAATACGCGCTCGCACTAGAGCATGATCTGAATCTAGGCATGTGCTCCAGAATGAGCGACAGTCTTCTATCGAGCCCCTCCATCGGTGGCTGATAGCGATGTGATCTATTTGGGTCCAACGTTGGGACGAATTAGGGGGTCGCCATGTTAAAAGATGTTTTTCCTTATGCTTAAAGTTAGTATTTGCAAGGAACAGGCGGTTATCTGAGCATAGCTGCAACAGACGGTCGCCATTATCTGTTCTTTGAGCCACGACACCATAAGATCCACCTAGGTGTCTTTCCCTATCGCTTAGTTTACCTACTTGAGCATTAAAGTCACCGGCCACTATTACTACATCCGAGCGCTAGCTTTTCGGAGAAGGTCCGAAAGCTTTCTGTAAAACTCATCTTTTACATCATCTGAGCTGCAGTCAGTGGGAGAATAGGCAGAGACGACGAAGAGGCAACGACGAGTGTCCCTATCTTTCCGGATTCTTACTGTTCCGTTCAGTCGGACAGCGCACAAACGACTGTCTACTGGGATCCACTCTAAGAGAGCTAGTTCTGCCCTAGGACTCAATGCTATACCTACGCCGGCGAGGCCACGGGAAGCAGAATCAGGGCTTCCAGATACACGAAGCGTAAATCGAGTCGGTTCTTTATTTTGGCATGGTGAGGTCAAATGAATGACGCTACTTGGATCCTGTATGCGCGTTTCGGAGACGCAGCACACATCGATGGCGCGAGATTCTAAAGTTTTAGCTAAGGAAGCCTGCTGTCCTATTTGGCAAAGTGTTCGTACGTTAAAAGCTCCTACGTGTAGTTTAGAGCGTGGTTTCAGGAGACCAGGAATGGCGTTCCACGTACTCGAATCGTTTGCCCTAGCGGTGCGAGGTGATAAAGAGACGTGAGGAGGGTTAGTCATGGAGATAAGAGAGGTATTAGGAGGTGTAGGAAGGATTTGAATGTGACCACCTTGGTCTCTTGTGCTGTTACGGGTATGAGGGCTGATGTCACTTCCCGGCTGCCCACACCGTGGAAGGGTATTTCTTGAGGAACCTGAAAAGGAAATTGGATTAGTGTTGGTCTTGACGACCTGGGAGCGTGACCGCAGAGCCCAAGGGACAACTGCTTGAGGCCGGTCGCGCACGGCCTTTTTGTGGAAGGTTTTTAATGTGTTAGCTCCGTTCTTCAAAGGGCCTTACCGCCGGAGACGGAAATCCGTGAGGTAAGGTGAGGTGTGACATTTTTAGGGTCGACCTTTTCTAACCCCACCCCTCCTTGTGGGAAGGCAGCATCGCTGTCATGCTGGTTGTCCGAGGGAAGCACCTTACTGCTGTCACACCCCTCTACAGTCAGCAGTACGACTTCGCCCTCAGACCTTGAGTTGCTGCTTTTAGTCTTACCGTTCACCAATCGACCTGCCTGGCATGGTAGAACCTACAGGAACATATGTTCCAGCCAATATAGCTCGGTTGGGTCATCACGATAGGCAAGCCCGACCACCGCGTCAAGGTAGCAGCTTCGGTCGGGTTTGGAATTCGCAGATGACCTGTCCCTCCTATCGCATACACATGAACAAATGCAGATAAAGACAGCCAGTGTAGCAGCATTCTCTGCATCAGTAGGCCTCAGCATACACAAGGATGAATAACAACTGAAAGGAGCTGGAAAGGATTGCCCAGGATAGGGTTGAATGGAGAATGCTCATGAGCGGCCTATGTTCCTTCACGAGGAGTAACAGGTGTAAGTAAGTAAGTTTGCACACGAAAAGCTGCTACCGTATGATATGTTTATTTCACAGTTAATCAACTTCCTATCAAAAAATATGTAACAACTGCAAAAAAGTTACGTCACAAAACAGTGACTATATTTTTAAGAATATCCTTAAAAACTCGAAGGTTGATACCAGTATAAACTTGTATAAATTACGTATCAGTTCACTTTTTGCTATGCTCGAGAAGTTAAGATATTACCTAGGACCGTTGAACGGAATGAAAGCCAGCAACACAAGAACAGAACAAGTTAAGCTATTTCACTGCTCTCTAGCCCTGCTAGAGGAAGAAGACCAGATTCAGCCAATACAAAATATAATCCCACAAGTGGACCGGAAGAACGAATGAACAACAAACACGCAACACATCCGTATATATGCAATACAAAAATGTCCTTGAAAACGTTACATAATAGAGTACTAAAAGAGAAGACGAACTAACATTCAAAGTCATTTCAAGTGCAGGTAAAAATTGCACTCTTTTGGAGCGAGAATGAGAAATTCAAACTTCCATGATTTTATTACAAAAATGAGACGTTTGTCAAATGATCTTTGGGGGTCTAGCATCCTCAATTGATATCTTAAAACGAGCCCCCGATGATTTTCAGTAGTTTTAGCTGTCATTGCCCAATAGCGAGTGCTACACTTTAAGTTAGTTTTTTTTCTTAGACATGAAGAAAATTAAACTGGTAACTGCTAAGTTAACCCGAGTTTTCATCACTTACTCATTTATAATAAAGACGGTCACCACAATTTATGAAACAGTTATGTGATTATAAAATTACAAGAAAGTCTACATTTTTTCTGCTAAAGTGATCTTCCATGATCAAATATTTTTACTTACAATAAGTAAAATACTACAAGTACCTACCGTAAAGAATTATTGCAAATCGCTACAATACCTTCAGGACATTGTTCGGAAGAAAAACCAGATGCATATTCTAGTGCTTCATAAGAAAGTGGTATGAGATGAAATCGATTTTGATATGCATAACTAAGCCAAGAGCGGCTCGAAACAGATAGAACTGCCTCTCCTCCTTGCATCATTATGCGAAATAACTTTACGGGACGAGTACCTAGGTACCGTGTACGTGTATCTGATAGTTCACCAGTGACTGGATCCAGGATAACCCGCAACAACACACCATTGATCAGACCAATGTTCATGTAAAGGATGCCACCTGAAGATGTCGCTTCTGACTCCCCATCATCTGTAGAAGGCGATGGTTCATTCGTTCCCATTTCAACTATGCAAAGCGATTCCGGAGTAGATGGTATTCCTTGCATTGTGAGGGGAGTGAGACAATCCTAAGATTTTTAAGAGTAGACGACACGTTATGAAATTTGTAAAACAATAGAGGTCTGAAAAGTTACTATGAGTAAATGATTCTAGATGAGTGGATAGTCAAGACACAGAAAGTGATTCGAAAGATGTTTATGAAACCGTGCACAGGTAGATATGCCCTTCATTGGTATAAGGCGTATAAACTATAAGTCTACCCACATAATTCTATACTTCAATTATTACAATTTTAGATATCTCTGATCACAATTTAACTTGAAGTTAGGATAGATTTCATTTTCAGTTTGAAATAACCTGGAATAATAGTGAAGCGGTTCATATCATTACTCTTAGCAAATTAAATGACTGAGGAAAATAAACATACGTACATGATAAAAAAGTGATAAAACAGTGAAGAACTAGGAGACAAAAAGTAGTTAATACGAGTAGTGAAAAGCCAAGGAGTAAAATGACCACTACTTATAGTAAGCTAGAGAATAGACATTTAAACTAATAGAAATGATTTAGACAACCTGTCAAGCCGACCTTAACAAAACCCTCTGATAACGAACAACAGACATTGTGAGTTTGTATCAATGTTTAGTATGGATAATTCGAGCTTACATTCAACCGGTTTCAACTTGTTAGCGCACGCAGCATAAAGCTTAATTAATGGATCAGAGAGAGGTTTACAACCTTATCAAACTTTACCCAAAATATAATACTGCCCCACCCTCTGACTCAGCCATACCATAATAAAGATTACTTAGTTAATCCCCTGACATACATAGAGTTAATTGTAAATCTCTCATACATAAAACCTCGACTTACTAGTTTAAGTACGACGACTAACAACCGAATCACAGTTGTAGAACGCTTTGCTTCAAGCAGCTAGGAATTATCGGTAGCTCACACAATACATGTGACCGAAAGCCAAGTATGTGGACCGGTACTTCGTTATTGAGTACAAATATTTTTCATGACTTACATATGTCACACTAAGTTTAGGCGAATGGTAACACTGTTTCCGAATGCATCTCAAAAACAACATAAATCCATATAACATAAGTGTTAGCAAATTATTCAGAAAGAAAAAGAATGGTGGAAACTTACTGATGGATCCAGTGATAAAATACGGACAGTATTATCCGCCAAGCCCACGGCGAGAAACCGAGAACGCTGTTCATTTGCAGGAATTCGTCCAAGAGCCATACAAATAACATCTGCTGGCATTTCTTTCCTTTCTGTATATTCGTTTAGTTGTCCGGTCATATCCATTTCAAAATAAACTAGCTCGCCACCAGTAAGGGCTATAACCACTTGTCGACGATTAACAGCACATTTGGTAATGGTTTTCTTCCCAGGTGCACGCCAAACGTTTACTCTTTTGTCAGACCGAATATGACGAATACCATCAGGATAAACTTGGACAAGTGCATCATCGCCCAACTGTGAACAGGTAAGTGTAGGAGTTGTACCCAGAAATCCTGAATCAGTGACTTCTTCAACCGTTTCCCCAATGGACAACACTAATGTTGCGTTGACAAATGATACAATAATGTACGCATCATATTCCTCTAAAAATAAAGAATACAAACTTTGTTACTTAAAAGAAGCTTTTCTAATGAGTGGCTTTCATAAATGACATAAACATACATTTTTCTGACAAATGCAAGGTTTGGAGTAATAATTATTGAGACGAAAAGTATTTTTGGTCACATACGGCTAGACTATATATGTTGCATCTAACATCTTGTTTGGCTAGATGTTAATCTGATTCGAAACGTCTATCATTTTATGTGGACTAATGAGATAAACTGACTTACGAACTCGACATCACCCCAAATACCCGTAACATCACACGAGACCAAGTTGGTCACATTCAAATCCTTCCTACACCTCCTAATACCTCTCTTATCTTCATGACTAACCCTCCTCACGTCTCTTTATCACCTCGCACCGCTAGAGCAAACGATTCGAGTACATGGAACGCCATTCCTGGTCTCCTGAAACAACACTCCAAACTACATGTAGGAGCTTTCAACGTTCAAACACTGTGACAAATAGGACAACAGGCTTCCTTAGTTGGGACTTTAGAATCTCGCGCTATCCATGTGTACTGCGTCTCCGAAACGCGCATACAGGATCCAAGTAGTGTCATTCATTTGACATCACCATATCAAAACAAAGAACCACCTAGATTCACGCTTCGTGTATCTGGAAGCCCTGATGCTGCTTCCTGTGGCCTCGCCGGCGTAAGTATAGCATTGAGTCCCAGAACAGAACTAGCTCTCTTAGACTGCATCCCAGTAGACAGTCGTTTGTGCGCTGTCCGACTAAACGGAACAGTGAGGATTCGGAAAGATAGTGACACTCTTCGTTGCCTCTCCGTCGTCTCTGCCTACTCTCCCACTGACTGCAGCTCAGATGATTTAAAAGATGAGTTTTACAGAAAGCTTTCGGACCTTCTCCGAAAAGCTAAGCTCTCGGATGTAGTAATAGTGGTCGGTGACTTTAATGCTCAAGTAGGTAAACTAAGCGATAGGGAAAGACACCTGGGTGGATCTTATAATGTCGCGGATCAAAGAACAGATAATGGCGACCTTCTATTGTAGCTATGCTCAGATAACCGCCTGTTTCTTGCAAATACTATATTTAAGCATAAGGAAAAACATCTTTTAACATGGAGACCCCCTAATTCGTCCCAACGTTGGACCCAAATAGATCACATCGCTATCAGCCACCGATGGAGGGGCTCGATTGAAGCCTGTCGCTCATTCTGGAGCACATAATTAGATTCAGACCATGCTCTAATGCAAGCGCGTATTTGTCTGTGTCCCACTGGACGTAGGAAAGACGCTGCAAGGAAGCCTCGTAGGGTCCTACTTATTGATAGCCAAGCTAAGGATATATTTCAGCAACAACTAGAAAAAAACAGGCAGCCATTTATGTGATGCATTCACTTGTTGACTTAGAATATGTCGATGACAGTTCTACTTGGTGAAGGCACTGACAAAATGCAGTCTTCTGACCACTATAAACAACAATCCAACCATGTTCGCATGCGATTCTCCCCTCGAAATGCAAAATGTTGCTTCAGGATTGGGTTGCATCGACACCCCAACTAATAATATGGAGTGAAATAGTTGAGCGTGTCGACCGCTTCACTTATCTCAGAAGTCTCATCAGCCCTTGTGGTCTGGTGTGTGACGAAATCTCAGCACGGATACAGAAGGCTCGACTAGCTCTTGCCAACTTGCGTCATTTATGACGTAGGCGAGATATCCGTCTATCAAACGAAGGACCGGTTTACTGCGCAGCAGTTCGTTCCGTCCTACTTTATGACAGTGAAACATGACCAGTAAGAGTAGAAGACATTCGTAGGTTAATAGTATTTGATCATAGGTGTCTTCGAAACATTGCTCGTATATTCTGGGACCATCGAATAAGTAACGCAGTTGTTAGAAAACGGATACTAGGTAAGGATGGCAAATCAATTGATGAAGTAGTGAAAATTTATCAGTGTTACGTATGCCCAACCACCAACTGCCCCGACGTGCTATGTTCAATGGTATAGGAATAGGTTGGGAGAAAGCTAGGGGTGGCCAGACAAAAATATGGCACAAATCCATGAAGTCACTGACAAGTGGACTGAGTCATGTTGGTAGGTATAGACTACCTGGTTGGGATCCGCGAGACGATAGCAACCGATGGTTAGAGACCTCCACCTAGGGGAGTTGGAAAGCCCTGATTCCAAACCAATGGTGCACATGGGCTCCAGGATCCTGAAGGAAAAAATGGCGTATGAACTAATCGTTGGTCACCGGCTACCATAGGACTGCATCTCCTTACGTTGTTCTACTGCCTTGTCGACCAGACCTTTAGGTCACAGGCTCCGGGCTTGGCTTCCTAAGAAGACCACCTGCTTCGGTTTGGGCACCCGGGCAGCATCCCAGCCCTCACACAAACCGAATGATTTGTGTGGCGTATATCTCTTTGGTGCCTCCTTGTACCAATGTTTGTGTTTAAATAAATTAAATAAGTACAATATAAAAGCAAATAAAGTAATTCAACAACACTGCAGAAACGTCTATAGTAACAAACGCTAATTCTTAGTGTTAACTGCTTGATTAGATTACAGATAAGATTGGGTCAAAAACTACTCGCACAACAAAGTTTTTGACCTAAAACGGAATGTTTTGGTACAGCTTTCACTTCCTGAAAAATGCTGAAAATAATCCACTAAGAAATTGGAGCTGTTAAAATACATCTAACACAAATGAAAAAGCCTATATTCTATCCGAGAATCAGAATACTAACGCAGAGATTGGGGAATGAACATCCTTTATGACACGCTGACAAATCACATATACAGTTTAGTAATATGGAAAAGCTCAAAAGACCTTTTACTCACCTTCAGAATTTCGCTTAACTGTCCACACTGCGTTTGGATTACCTGGAAGGTCTGATTTTGCCATTTCAGATACCTCTAAACCATGTCTTAAAAGCCTAAATGTTGATCCTGGACCTCGCCCACACAAAGCAGCCAACTGAGGCGTATCTTCATTGGCAAAGTCGGCAATCTAAAACGTTATGAAAGTATGTAGTACTCACGTGACAGCTCATAACAGGAGATAAACTTTCCAAGACATCAACTTCAATGAGATTTTTAAGTGGTCTGGGGCGAAGTAAAACGTATCTCCCTCTTCTAAAGGCATGGCCGAAGAGAATTCTGGCTCGTCATCATCATCACCAAGATGAGCAATTTGATATAGACAACTACCAAGTATGTCAAGGATTAGGTCAACTTACTGGTTGCCGAACTCTGATGCAACGAACAGAAAACCTGTCTTCAAACACACATAGCAGAAGCCACTGGAACAGTATCGAAATATTTGAGCTTAATCTCCGTCACCATATCATCATCGACTTCGAGATTTATTTTAAAGATATCTCCTTGTTCTGTTTGAGCTAAAAAGAAAAATAAGTTCTACCAAGTTTAAGGCATAAACATCTGACAAACCTTCGTTTTATGTGAGGCGCTACATACAAATAAAATACCTCTATCAGGATCATCCAGATCATTTCGTCGCTGAGGTATTGGACAACGTATATCAGGTTGATCACCAAAATTTTTGTATGTTATGTAGTTCTCTGAGCAAATCAATATACCAGAAGGACCTTCGTTGCCACCAGGGACAGCAATCAGGAAATTCGCATGCTCCTCCAATGGTTCGGAATATTTGCGGACAACATGGTTAAGGCCAAGATCCAGTTCATAATAAGTCAGAAGTTGATTGGCCCCACGAGCCGCTTCACCAGTAGAGTCCTGGTCAGCATCTTCATAATCCATCTCGATGCAAGCAAACAATGGGTTGTCGAATCCCACATCTACACCTACCATATGGTAGACTAAGGTATTTGACTTGTGTGCTTCTAATGGAGAAGATATGGTAAGTCTCGCCTGAGAGTCTCTATTCATGATGTACACAAGTTTTTGTTTCTCAACAGCACCAATCATGAAAGCACGTCCCTTAGGATTTACAGCTAGATATTGTCCAGGTACTATCCTTCTACAGCCACTTTTCCCAAATGTCTCCTGCTGAACTTTTTCGAAAACGTTTTTGGACGGAATGTACTCCAAAACAACAACTCGCCCGGAATCAGAACCCACAATCAAATAGTCTGGGAACAATACGTCAGTTTAAATGAGAGCATACCTTTATTACTGCCTGTTAGACGAAATGGCATAAAAGATCTAACTATCCCAAAAGCTTCACATGTTAATAACGTGTAGACCTTTCCCGTATTTGGATCAGGTCTAAGAAGCTCGATTATTTTTCCTCGGGCTACTGCTATTTCCTGTTGCTTTGTTCCCGAGAAATTCCCATGAACTGCATGAGTAATTCCTGTTGCGCGTTGCAACGTGATGTTGTACAGATACATTTCCGAGGGTTTCGAAAGACCCGCCTGGACAAAAAGTTTCGAAAGTTATGATGAAATCACTTTGATTTGATTGATCTGATGGTAAGTGTTTTTCGATAATCTTGACGATGGATGTCTCAAAGCCGATAAAAAATTTTTTAGAATGCATCTATAAAAAGGTCTGTCGCTTCAAGTCAAACTAAAGAACTCCATCGATTGATAGTCAGTTGGCATGTAACCAGCTTTAAGCTAGTCAAATGTTTGGTTTAATACTTGTATACTTTTTATTCCTGAGGGCTTAATAAAAATTTTATGTCGCGGTCGAAACCATCAGACAGCCTTGAAGCTATGTCCCCAATAGCCCGTAGGGCCAGTGAAATGTCATTGAGCCCTAGCCAAATCATCGATCTCTGTCAAGGTCACTAACGACCAACGCGCACCAGTTAATCGTTCGCCATGGGCTGGCCCATGCGGCAGTAGTCTCACTTTCGCTTATATCTACTTTAATATATTTCTGTAATAACGTCTTTTGTGTTGTACAGTCTTCACAGTGTCTATAGTACCTTTATACGTCGATGAGGTGATCCACGTAAAGTGATGACCGCGAGGTGTGACTCCAATGTTAGCTAGTTCATCACGCCATTCCCGTCGAACTCCAGTAGACCCCAATCATTCGACATTGATCATCTACGTTGATGATCTACAAGTCCTTTTACGTAATAATAGAAGCATTTCGTTCAAGTAACCTAATTTTGGTTGCAATCCAGAAACACATCTACAGGTAACCCCACATTTACTTCTAGACGTGCTTCATCTGCCTTTATACTGGAACTTAGTTTAGTGGGAAATCTGCCGTATCCAGTGTCACCAATTCTCCAGTATCCATGTGGCTGGATTCTGTGAACTGTTTAAAGTACGTCATAATATGTGTGACAATTAAATGAATGTGTGTAGTAGTACGTTTCTGAATACCTTTCCACCTTACTCTGTATATTTTAATATCATCTTTACAAAACAAAGTCGAAAATATAAGATAAGTTAAAGTGTGTTTATCCTTTAAGCCTATTAAAAGTCCTCATAAGTGAATCATTCAGGTGCGAAGTAATCAGAATGTAGCATCTTTTTCTGCTGTCTAACGCCTAAGTCATTTAGTCTGAGCTATGTCCATAAAAACTGCCCCGATATCTTCGCATATCCTGTTCCATATTTCACCTTGCTTACTACACTGAATATTTCTGTATAATTGTGTGATGGTACACATGTGTCGATTTATATAACGCGTGAAAACTGGATCGATTTGTTACTCTCTGGTTCGGTAAATTTTTGGACTCTTAAGCTCTTAATGTTCTCTTCATATCTTGTCTGCTTTTGTTCATTTCAATAATGGCATGTCTGAAATATGAGTATCTGAAATATCAGTCGTGTTCGACTTTTAAATTCTACGTTGTATTAGCTTGATTAGTCGACAGGAGATATGAGAAGTCAAATGAAGGCTATATTTTATTCATGTCACCATCTTTTTAACAATACTGGGGCTAAAAAAGAGTGAAAAAGGCCGAAGATTGTTGGCCTTTGTTTTTTATCCTAGAACGAGCTAAAAGCAATAAAGGTGAGACAAGTATTCTTCGGAAATACAAGACATAAATCAAGATTACCCTAACCACTTTCGTCAGAGAGGCTATAAGGCTAATAAGGTGCTCTTGGATTTTGATGCGAAATTCATCCATCTATATGCCTAAATAACATTTCGATATTGTGGCTGATGTCAGTTCGTAGTGAAGACCGAAACCTTAACTCCTGAACGTAACGTCCAACCCTGAATCCTAATTTTGATTAATCACACTAATCTATAATTATCATTTACCCTTTGTAAGGATGTTGACCGTCTCAAGGTCAGGGGTGGTGACGCTTCAAACCCTATCAACGTAGTGCAGCAACAATTATAACGCATACTCACACTAACGAAGTTTTTGTATTAAGGAGGAGGACTGAGCAGGCACACAGAATGAATGCCGAAGGCCAGTGAAGGATGTGGAATACTTTGATGAATGAACATGAGTTTCACATAGAGACAGATACAAGCTAACAGTTATCGAAAATTCCCTGGGGATAATTTCAACGTTATCTTAGATGATATTACACCTTAAATGTCACCAAAGCTAACCTGTAGCGGCATTGGACCCTAAACTCACGACCTTTAAAAATATTTATATTCAACCATTTGCACGAAGAGCAGGTCAGCATTGGAGAAGGGGAAAAGGATCATTCAATTCATCGGATGGCATGACTCAGCCTCGTAGGCGTGTCATCCTTTTGTAACTTGTCTCCTTGATTCGCATTAAATATATCGCTCTATCTCCAGCCTAAATGTGTTCTCCATCAAATATTGGTAATGATCACGGCAGGACAAGGCAGTGTAAAGAACGATGGGACTTTCACGTATGATGTTATAGATTCAGTGGTCACATTATGACAAATCAACAATTTTAGGATCAGGTCTAATATTAGAGCAGTACCAATAACGAAGTAGACCATAATTCTACGAACCCGCTGAAACTATTGCTTTCTTGCCTGACAAGTTCAGTCGCTGAGTGTTCCATGTTTCCATGTCCAACGTCATGAGCCAGAAATTTTGATCAAGTGATGCTGAAATTGTCGTTTGGGCTGCATACTTCTCCTTGTTTTGTCATAAGGATTTTGGTAGGTATCCACAGGACCGTAGATCGTAAGGTGAGTCAGTTTTTGTTTTGTACTACTCATAGAGAACCTCGATCAACTTCTCACAGTCCATGAAGTTGACAGTTATCAGACGATGCAGGCCGATTGTAGCTGGATATGCGTTAGGAAGTGCTCCGTAAAAACAAACCTTTTTCAATTCACCTACTGCTTGGTGGCGTGGTATTCACTGCTATTTGATTAATAGACAAAGTCTAATATTGTTGATCTACTGAGATACGAACGAATAGTGCAGATGATATAAAGTCTATGTCACATAATTGTTCACCACCACCTACCATATGGTAGAGGTTAGGGTGTCCACACTATAAGAATCTTTAAAGAACAACAGGATAATACATTTAATATACAGACGAAAAAGTTACACAAATAAACCACACTTGAATGGTTGAACGTTCACCTCTATTAGCCTTCAATATTTTTGGTCTATCATTAAGTGTCGAGAGGTAAAACTTCTACACTGGAGTACATTCATCTACAAAGACTATATTGTTGTTGTTCAATGTTCTTCTGTTGTTAATTCACTATCTCTCCATCTCTTGCGAGGCTCAGCATCAATCTAGGTGAGAGGCATTGTATTTTGACCCCTGAACAAAGGGAACAGTTTAGTTGAGACAGTACCAATCCCAAGCATGATCAAGTATTTATCCCACTTATGCTTTTAAAAAACTTTTTTTCGTTCTGACAAACCATTTTTCAACAACTGGTCATGAAAAGTATGTAGGAACTTTGCTTTCTATCTAGATTTTCATCCGCTCCACGGCGTATTGACCAACAATTGGGCAAAAATGTCCTTGAAATCTACCTGTCGCCCCTTCTATCTCACCGTGGCCGGAGTGTGGGACTTTTGGTCAGCCAAAAAGTAAATTCATTGGTTTGACTACATTATGTATCTACATAGGCTGTGGCCAACGTTCAGGGCCTGGATTTTACGGTCATATGTCTGAAGTCGCTAATAGATCAGGTGGCCACATCTTAGGCGTGAACTACGGTGGCTTCGATGTCACACATGAAACGATTGCTACCGTTATCTAGATGACAGGATTAACCTTACATCCTAGAAACTCGGACCACAGACACGAGTTTCTCATCATGAATCTGTAACACTATTTATGTACATGTGTGTTATGATGATAGCGAAAACATCCATGACAGAGGCTACATACTGATGAGCAGTAACTTGTAACTAGTGAGATGGATCCAAAGAAATTGGCACCATTTTGTCCTACTCTTTAAGCACATGGTTTTCTCGGAGATCTACTGTGGAAATACAAGTACTTCTTGCTCTCTTTTTAGTGACTTTTTGTACCAGAGAATGAAAGGCCGGACTGAGATTAGTTAATATATAATCACGAAGGCATTCACATCAAATATTCGAATTGTTGTTTAGAGGTCAATGTTCTGTGCATTGCTTCAAGATGCCATAGTGTCATACCCGAAATTTCAGACTCTGGGAAGATTTGGACATGAATACGTGCTAGACATTCAAATCCAAGCTAAACACTATCAAGAACCAGTAGATTCCGTAACGGAGTAGGAATCTATTGGTAATATTACAACTCTAAGAAATACTGTTCTCTACCACAAATGTAGAGATAAATCTACCACAAACCTTCAATATTCAGATTTCTTAAAGTTCAAGAACAAGTGTGAGCCACAAAGCAACTGATATGTGGTTTCGTTTCCCTTGAATGGTTTCCACTCCGGATTCACCGGGGCAGCGACTGCTTGTAATTGTGTTGAATAAAGTATTATTTGGTATATACTCTAGTCCTCTATTCTTGGTAATGAATCGGTGTTGCCGTATGGAGCATTTATACCAAAAGTTGTCAATTCCAACCTCGGAGTTTAAGTCTTTCGTAGGATTGGTTGTATGGTATCTTTGACGTGTCTCTAGAACAGACTGCAGCGTCTCATAAACCTGAAAAGTTTCCTCCTCGCTTCAATTACTGGCAGGTGTGTAGGAGTAAATTACATATTTTTCCTCATTTGTTTGCAAATATGCTTTGACGATCTTAGAGCGGTAAACTTCTCATGCTACAAGGGCTTCTCGCGTTTCCTCAAACAGTATCAATGCAACAGTTTGTGTATGTGAGTGGTGCTTGTTTCTTCATAAACACAATACAGTAAGAACTTTTCAGATTTCGCGTGGAATAAAATTCTTTTGATACAGCAAGATCCTTCGAAGTTAACTGCAGCATTACAGACGCCCCTGCTACCATGAAAACCGAAACATTTGGCAATGTGCTTCTAATGATGACATCCAGTCGTCTATCCACAGGTGA